TCAGAAAAAAATTCAAAAGTATTGAACATATGTTTTTGGTATCAGGGCATACCTATTTGCCTTGCGATAGGGATTTCGCCCAAATTGAAAAACACAAAAGGTATTTGAGACAAATTTATTGCCCAGAGGACTGGTAAGAAGCCGTTAGAAAAAGTAAAAGGGCCAATCCATTCGAAGTTATTGTTATGGAACAGAAAGATTTCCTATCGTTTCAAAAAGTTCCTATGGTGAAAAATAACATAACTGAAGATAAAGAGTCTGTAAATTTCACAAAAGCACACTGCTTCCGATTTGAATCGGGTGAACGTGAACCCAATACGATGTTTATAAAACATGAACTAAATGGAAATTTAAAAAAAGTTAATGTTGGAAAGCGTGGAAATAGGTTAGTTCTTCAGTCAGACGATATTCTTGACAACATAGACTGCAAATACAATGAACCTGTAAAACTGAACAGCAAGAAAGTTGAAGACTTAAAAAAAACTTTTGCGATACATACCACCTATCAATCAAAACTTTTATATTACTATTTTCGAGCAGTGTGCTGGAGAGCACATTGACGAAACTGAAGATCAAAATATTGCGGAAGATGTGGATGGAGAAGAAGACTAGCGGAAAACTGCTTAATATTTTTTACCTGTACTACAAGATTTATGTTGAGCTAAGAGCTACTTATTTTATTTTTTTAAGTTAGTGAAATCTAGAAAATGTTGTTTTATTTTAATATAAGAAAGGCACATGCCACACTTTAGCAAAAAAAATCCAATAAATTCGAAAAAAATTAACTCACTAAAACCCTATGACCCAAAACTCACAATTTTGCAAAACAAACCCGATTTACAGATTTGACTAGAATTTTCCAAATCGTTTTTCTCAATAATGTTCCAATGTGGCTTATGCACCTTGTTACCCCGAGCGCTTCAATTATCCTTCTTAATTTTTTATTTTCTGCCTCCCATCCATTAATATATACTTTTCTGCAAAATTCTTGGGGTACATTAGGTGGATTATTTTCTCTGGATACAAATGGGATATTATTGGCTTCCAGTTAATCTCTGGTTTGCCTGGCATAGGGACAAGTTTCTAGATCAGGTCAAAACATGATTTCATCGTAAATATGATGTGCGTTTATAAATCGTAACAATTATGTAAACATCTTTGTATATGAAGACCTGCAGTGATGTCTTCTCCTCTAATATGTCCTAAGTATGGCCGCGATGTACCTGCCGAAGGAACAGCGCACCACACCAGAATTTTCTCCCTTCGAACAAGTATATAGTTGCACTGAATATATTAGGTTCTTGAAATATGCTTATAATATCCGCATTTTAAATTCGGCCAACTAAATAATAAATGCTTTTTAGTGTTTCGATTTTGTACGCCATGTCACAAAATTTTTATGATAACAAGGCCTACTTGAATAAATTCCAGGCAATGGTAACTAGACTGAATTTATTCACAGTGATTAAAATTAGTTACGAAATTTGTCTCAAAACTTATGTTACATACGTTATTATTGTTATCTACTATGCATTATACAAATGATGTAGATGAGACCACAAAGAAACCTATAATAGTCTTAGAATAGTACCAAAGGACACATTTGACAAACTCGGCCACACTTTCCCCAGTGCATGATCCACCAAAAGGTGGCCTATAATAGTATTTTGTGGCACGCTGGAAAAAATTATTATATATTTTTGCATTTTAAAATAAACTTATAGGTAAGAATTATTTTCTAAATTTAGGTTTCATGTTGATGTTTTTTTTTTGGAAATATATGTTTATTTTACTATAAATATGTTATTCTAAGTACAAAAACTATATAATCAGAAAACTTAATGCATCAAAATTAACCTATCAGTTATAGCAAGGTCTATTAAACTCCAGTGTGTTCTATGGAACTGTTTATGATGTGTGTGTGTGTGTGTGTGTGTGTGTGCGTGCGTGCGTGCGTGCGTGGGTGTGTGCGTGTGTGCGTGTGTGCGTGTGTGCGTGTGTGTGTGTGTGTGTGCGCGCGCGTGTGTGTGTGTGTGTGTGTGTGTGTGTGTGTGTGTGTGTGTGTGGGGGGGGGGGGGGGGGGGGGGGGGGGGGGGGGGGGGGGGGGCGAAGGTTAAGGCATCTCAAAAATGCTGTTATTATTAATAATGATACTGTAAATTCGAAAACCAATTTTGTAGATTGTACATAAATTCGACAGTGTGCTGAACATAAAGTCCGACAGAAAGATGATCTCAAATTCGTCTGCATTAAAATATTTTAATTTTCCATAATAGTTGTTGACTTACTTTCCAAAACTTAAAAAATGATGGTTGGGAACAAAAGAAAATACATTATAATAAAATTCAAAGAGAAAACTGTTTATTTAGGTCCTGAGAAAAATACTTAATTTACCAAAAAAAAAGGTATTGGTCAAAGGTTTTAATTTTTTTTTTTTTAATAGAGCTTCTATTTTTTGTAGGATTTAAGTCGTAGAATCTTTAATCTTTTTTATAGGCTATTTTAACCGATTCAAGCTACTTTTGGTCATGGTGATTGTCAATTATTTACCGTGTTTGATAATTTCTTTTATTTGGTGTGTTTTCTCTGGTTACAGGTATCTGTATCTGGAACGTGTGAAGGGTGAGTTACCCCCACGGCACTTAGGCCTTATTAGGCCCATTATGCATCCTCCTGAGATGAAAGGCACCTTCTAGCTCGTGAGCCAGCCTACAGATTTAATATAGTTGACAACGTCGCCAAGAGGTGCTACTCTTATATCGGCCGGTGTTAGCCGATACTCGCCGAACACAAATCTAATAAATAAGAGCGTCGAGCAATTGCAAAGGATATGCTCGATGGTCTCATCTTCTTGTTCGCACCCTCTGCAGAGTGTGGATTCTGACAGCCCCATGATATGGAGATGCTTTCGTACGTAGCAATGACTAGTCAGAATGCCTTTATCTAGGCGCAGATTCTGTCTAGTCATAGTCAAGTATTTGTTTGCCGCAGTGTTGTCAGGATAACGTAAAAGCTCCCTGGCAACTGTGCAGTTTCTTGTTTCATCCCATCTTTCCTTTAATTTTACAAGAGAATATTTTGATTAGGTCTGTCACTAAAGATTTTGTCAGGCCAATAGAAGGGCTAGGTCCAAAACCTATTTGTTTGGCTGCTCTCTTGGCTAGTGAATCAGCAAGATGGTTACTTTTCGATGAGGCGTGACCTTTGATCAATCTTAAGATGACCACATTGTTGATGGATACTTCGGCCAAAGCTTCGTGACATTCTAGTACTAAACCTAAGTATATTCGTGGTCTGTTCAGGGTGAGTAGTGCTTGTCTGCTATCTGTATAGATGAGTATATTCCTTCCAGTGACATTGTTTCTGGTTATTTCTTTTGCTGCTATGAGAGTCTCCGTTAGCACTAAAATGGCACTATTGCTCGCAGCCCATTTTATGTTTAGAAATATATTCCACATCCTGAGCCTTGTTTTGTTTTAGAACTGTCGGTGTAGATATGAATCGTACCTGCTACTTCCGGCTCTTCTATTTGTTCTATTATAACTTTATATGGCTTATGGAAGAAATATCTCGGTGAGATGGAGTCCATGTTCGCTTGAAGCAGTGAGAGCGTATCCAGCGCCTCCTGCCAAAAGCGACGTCTCGCCTCACCAGGTCCTACATCAGGTTTTATTCCAACCGTGCGGAGGTGTGTCATTGTCGTCAGAGCAACCTCCTTGATGTAAATATCAAGGGTAGTGAGACTAAGAATGACTTCCATGGCTCTGGTCGGTGTTGTTTTCATAGCTCCTGTTATGTTGAGACATGCTGTTCTTTGAATTTGTTCCAGTTTACATATAGCTGGTAATTTTTGGGTTTTTGGTACCAAGACAACTGCACCGTATGTTAGCATAGGTCTTATGATAGTCGTGTAAGTTCATGCGACGACTCTGGGGGAGAAACCCCAGGTGCGCCTTACGGTTCGGCGGTATTGTTCTTAAGCAATGTATGCTCTTATAACTCTGTTTTCTAAATGCGAGTTCCATGTTAACTTGCTGTCAAAGGTGAGACCTAGGTACTTCACCTCTGTTGCAAAGTTTAGGAGTTTTAGAGGTTTTATTTCCATTTTCATCTTTTCTTTTGTGAAAAGAACCATTTGCTGTTTGTTGTTGCTGTTTCTCACTTACTTTATTAGGAATTAACAGGTTTTTCAATACAAGCAGAAAATTTAAGGGCATGATGTCGTATTTTTTTGTTGGTCGATAAAGTAGTTATCTTTTTAAAATTTAAATATAATATTTTAAGTTACCTCTAGATGTCAGTATATACCTACCTTTATTGTAAAATACATTCTTATTTTTATTCAAAAAGTAAAAACATCGAATTTGGGCTACAGTTTCAAAACCTATACCTTCAATAGTAATTTTCAGTAAAACAAGAATATAATAGTGTATAACGAAAGCTTAACATAAATAAAAAAAGAAAACTAAGGCAGACTTTTTCGTCTCTGAGTAAAATTACAGGTATGTTAACTTGACAGATTAGCGAACAATATCCTATAGTTTGATCAGCAACTTTAGTTAAAGGTAAAAGACTGGCACTAAATATTGTTAAATAAATTTGTTTCTTAATCATGCAAATTAATTAGGTATCTAAATGATTAGCTATTGTAAAATTACAGTTCATAAATGGTAAACTGAAATGCAAACCGTTTTAAACCGTACGCCATTGAGAATGGAGAATCTACCCCTTTCGCCTCACGTCTAAAGTGATGACCCCGCATACACATAACAAAATACATTGAATGATATCTCTGGTCTTATATGCACTAAGTCAAAAGTCAAAACCAGTCGCAATAAACACATTGACTGTGTTATCTGTGGTGTTATATTCTTTCAATAAATCGATTGTTGTACTGTACCTCGTCAACTTTTTGTCTCAATACACTATTTGATATTGTTGGATAGCGGCTTAATAAATATTGCTTTTTATGATTTAACTATTCTTTTTCTTTTTTCCAGTCACAAGTAGTCTTGTCTAAATGTGTCCAACGTACAAGAAGATTTGGTAATTAATGGTAAGAGCCGATTTCCGTTAATTTATGACAGCATACCTAGATGTTGAATGGAGAAGAATTTGGTTTTCCCAAAATCATGCAATGCTTCAAATATTGGTTGTCACAATACAATAAAATTATGTATACTGAAATTTACATTTTTTTCATTATAACTACATGTCATGTATCTACTTACTTACCTACCTATCTACCAGATCACTTTTAGAGTCTTTAATATGTTTGCAAATCTCAAAGCAATAACACCGAGTACTAAATCTAGAAATATATATTAACTAAACCTGTATCTTTTAAAGGCTATAGTGAACAAGTGTTAAAAGAACAAGTTTGTTTATAAATATTTGGTTTTGTTTATTACAGTCAAAATAACATTTTGAAATTTGGTAATTGTCATAAACTTGCAGTATATGTTAGTATCATTAATCTGAAACAAAAGCAGGGATTTTAAATTGTATTTGTATTATTACCATCAAAACCTTTATCAGATAATAGATGGTGTAGCTGAGTTGAAGCAATAACCCATCTAAGTATTCAAGTTAGAAGAAGTGGGTACCTATTCGATGCTTTATATGAAATCTAAACTGGAAATAATTAAAAAAAAAATAAAAATACGATTTTAGATGTGTGTTAGTCTTGTGGTCTAAAATATTAAATAAAGTCAATGTTCTAACATACATTCTGCAAACTAACAGCGGGTTGTTACAACGATTGTTAAATATTTAAACCCTATTTTCTCATTAAAGGGGTAGAACGGGTTGCATTCTGATGTTAATAAAAAAAAATTTAAATTTTTCTACAATGGTTTTCAATAATAAATTAATTGTCTAATGTATTTATGGTTGCCTATTGTTCAGGCCAATATCATGTAAATATATCGCGAATAGATAAAATATACGTATGAGATTCGAAGAAAAATAAGCAGTACCGGTGTTAATGAAATACGTGATACAGGTTCTGAGTACCATTACAATTTTAGTTACTAATAATTTATCATCAATTTGGGTAAATGTTAATAATCGTACCGCATTTCTTATTTTATCCCAATTTTACAAAAACCCTTTCATCCTTTTTATGTCGGTGGATGCATTTCAAGCAAAGGAATAGGTGAGTTTTTCTTATTTTTGTTAATAATACAGTCAATACAGTCTGCTTTTTTGTTTAATCGTAAAATTTGCAACATATTTTATTCGCACTGAAATTTTAAATGAATTTTATTAATTTTTAAATACATCAATGGAATCAAAAGATATTTCTACAGCATTCTACAAATCACACACGTCCAAGACATGCATTTTGTAAATTAAAATTTGTTACACGAGTTGACCAACAGCCACATTTAGAAACAGGACTGCATACTGAAGTTATTTAACGCCACGTTCAGCAATGAATCTAATTTTCACATCGACACATCTAGAGCACTTCGTTGTGACAGTCAATTGAAAATTTACAAAGTTAGCAATAGTGTTGAGCGAAAACGCGGACAGTTGAATGTTCATGTCCAGCCAACTTTCGCTTTGTGTGGTCACGGACGGTGACTGTTTGTGACAGAGCCATTTTGACCGCAAAAGCTTTTATGTTTAGAAAGTTATTAACTCAATGTTACTTACTACGGCCAGTAGAAAGGAAAATGCACATTTATGAAAAATGGAATATTTATTTTTGATTTTTTCAAATGCAAATATTCGTTAGGCGCTGGTAATGGATATCATAGAACAATTATTTTATTTTTCTGTGATTTATATTTCAACAAAATAACTATTTAGGTAGGTACTTATAGATCGTAATACAAGGAGAAACGGCACTTAATCTTCTAAATGGCTCGATCAACAGCAGGGGCGGTTTCTTTATTGGTTCATTTGTGCAGTAAACACCTAGTTACATTTTATAAAAAACACAATATTTTAATATAAAAAATAAAAATATTAATTCAATTTTAATAATTTTATTGTTTTATTGTTATTATCTATTTTGGGTATGCTACTGCGCTCTGGTTAATCACGTTTCCGTGGCGCTCTTTTATAAGTGAACCCGAAGAAGTAAAAAGTGTTCGCTGAAAAGAGATGTCAAACGTTAACAGATCAGTGAAACGTAGTGAGACAATCATAAAATCACTTAAATCAGCTTAGTTTGCGCAACGCACACAGTGACGTCAGAAAGTAGGGCAAAACATACGAACTTTCAATCATTAATATAAAATAAATAGGAGATGCTATACCGATCCTAAAAGTGTCCGCAAAATTTAGTTATAAGTTTTTGAGTTTTAATAAAACTAATATTTTAAAATTATTTTACTGTTATTGTACCCTATTTATATATTTATATTTCTTTATACCACATACAGACAATTTGAAGTTGTCTCAGTGTGTTTTGTGTTTAATTGTTCAACATATGTATTTATTTCAACTTAAAATATGTATTAATGTATTACTTGTTGGCAAATAAACTATTTTATTATTATTATTATTATTATTATTATTATTATTATTATTATTATTATTATTATTATTATTATTATTATTATTATTATTATTATTATTATTATTATTATTATTATTATTATTATTATTATTATTATTATTATTATTATTATTATTATTTTTTTTTTTTTTTTTTTTTTTTTTTTTTCCTTCTCAGGGTTGTTGATAAATTGGGATTCTTACGGAATCAGTCAATTAATCAGGCTTTAAATTTTTTCAAGTGTGATTTGTGCGACTTTTATTCATTGGCAGGTAAGTTCAGAGTTTTTCTCACAATACGACAAGTTTCTAGTAAAACTGACTTTTGCATTGTTGTGAAGATATTTTTGTCAGTGATGTTTATTTGTTTTAGGTACGACTCCAACTTCTTCGAAACCAGACCAGTAGCTGAAATTACTATGGGAATTATGGTAATACTTTTTAGTTTATGTATACTTTTATATTCTTCGGCCAATTCGAAGTATTTATTATTTTTTTCCTTTTCTGCTTTTTCTAGATTATGATCGTTGGGGTGCGTGATGTCGATGAAGAAGCCCACTTTCTCCTTTTTTCTTACAAAGACGATGTCAGGTCTATTGCTGGATACTGGTTTGTCGGTCTGTATTGGCGTATCCCAGTACAGAAGGTATGTATCATTTTCTAGGACCGGGAATGGAACATACTTAAAATATTGTACAGCTTTTTCTTGAAAATTGCACATAACTGCCAGATGCTGATGAACTATGTTGGCCGTTAAGTTATGACGCTTTAGGTATTCAGTAGGCGCTAATACCGTGCATCCCGATACTATGTGCTCTATTGTTTCTGAGTGGCGACGACACATTCTGCACAAGTCGTTATCGAGTCGAACTCCGTGGATAATTTGGATATGATTTCGTGTTGCGATAACGTTGTCTTGAATCGCCACCAAAAATCCCTCAGTTTCCCCGAACAAGTATCCCTTTCTCAACCATTCAGTTGAGAGTTCAATTTTTGATTGCAGAAGTTGATTGGGATACTTTCCATGAAGGGGCTTCGACAGCCATTCACTTTTTCGTATGTTGAGATCAGGAAGTGCTGAGCTTTCTTCTTTGAGTTTAACTGGAGAGTAGTTATCCAGCTGAGTTACGACTCGGTGAAGTGTAGAAGTTAAGGATTTATCTCGAAAGTATTTTTTTTGTTTATTTATTTGCTTTTGATAAAGTAACTTTATATCTAATAGTCCCCGGCCTCCCATTTTCCGTGGAATATAGAGCCTTTCTGTACAAGCTTTTGGATGGTGAATTAAATATTTTGTCATTTGCACACGGATCGATCGATTAAGAGCCTCTAACTCCGTGTTTGACCACCCGATCACGCCAAAGGAATATGACATTGTAGGAATTGCCCATGCATTAATTGCCCTAATTTTGTTTTTTGCTGTTAATTCAGTACGCAGTATTTGTTTCGTTCTTTTTTCGAGTGTTTCTGTAAGATGTTTTTTGGTCTCTTTCTTATTGATTACAAGTTGTTGCTCGTACCCCAGGTATTTATAACTCTCGCTATTTAGGTATTTAATATTCTCGATTTCGATGTTTTCGTACTCTCTAGGCTTTCCACGGTGTGCTACTAATTTCGCGCATTTATCAAAGCCAAATTTCATTTTAATGTCACCGCTAAAGTTTTTGGTTAACTCAATTAGTCTATCTAGATCTTTTTCAGAGGAGGCGTATAATTTTAAATCATCTACATAAAACAGGTGTGCTATTATGTGACTTATTTCTCCCATTTTTAAATTGTATCCTATATTGGCTTTTTGCAGTGCTTTTGACAATGGATTGAGGCTTAAAATGGACCACAAAGGACTAAGAGAGTCACCTTGGAATATCCCGCTTAGAATCTGTATTTCATCTGTTTCTATTATTTCGTTGTTAAGTAAAAGATTAAGAGTTGTTCGCCAGGAATTCATACATTCACTTAGAAAATTAACAATATCTTCGTCTATTTTGTACAGTTTTAATACTTCTAGTAGCCAACTATGTGGTACAGAGTCAAACGCCTTTTGGTAATCAATCCATGCTACTGCGATATTACGCGATCTATGTTTGGCATCTTGTGTAACTACTGAGTCGATAAGAAGTTGTTCTTTGCACCCTTGTGTTTTCTTTCTGCATCCTTTTTGTTCCTCTGTCAATATGTCTTTTTCTAGTAAATGACTGTCAATTTTTTCCGCAATTATTGAAGTGATTATTTTATAAAGGGTGGAAAGACAAGTGATGGGACGATAATTTTTTGGGTCTTCTGTTTTGTCTGACTTCGGAAGCATGTACGGTCACTCCCTTAGTCAAATAATCAGGCATTTTTTCTTTGTTGGTGATGATGCGGTTTATTTGTGCAGCAAGAGGTTTCCACACATTGAGATTTTTCCACCAGTAGTTGTGAATTGAATCAATTCCTGCAGCTTTCCAATTTTGAGTTTTCGCCACCGATTTCCTCACGTCCTCTTCTGTAACTCGGATGGGATTCATTTTTGGTAGTGCTTGGCATTCCTCTCTTTCGGTTTTTAACCATGTAGCTTTTGTGTTGTGTTCGCCCTTGTTTTTCCAGATGTTTGACCAGAATTCACTGAGATTT